TGTGTCTACCCCACAGACACGTAGCCCCATAAGCATCACTCTATGCACTTGTCATTTCCTTCTTCTTCTGTTTATTTTATACATGAAGAGCTAGAATTCGACCCAATAGCTTTTGTATACTAAGAATGCTATTTTTAAGAGCGAGCTGGTTTTGAGGAACAGGTCATCTGTCCCCTGGAGAGATCTGGGCTTGAATCAGGAATTGTCCTACAGAGATTGCCCTTGATTTTAGGGTACTACCCGAGCTTTGTTCTTGGGCCCTTGAGCCTTCAGACAGCAAAGACGGGCATCACAACAGGCGAAGGGGGTTGTTATGAGAAGAGCAGATGAGAGGTGTTTCTGGGAAATGTGGAACCGCCTCCTACACATGGCTCAGGATGGATGCTCAGTGCTGCCTAATAAAGTAGAGTCCCATTCTTTTCCTGAGTTTGTCTTAATGTGTGTTAAAAACCTGAACTTGACTGTCAGTTAGCAAACTCACACCTCACTCCCCCACCCACCCACCTCCTGCCTCAGGTTGAAAGTGGTCCAAGATCTTCAGGGAGTAAAAGTCAATCACCTCCAAGAGCACACATTTGGGTGAACCTAGACCTGTGTGCTTGGCCAGTACACACTCCTTTCCATTCTCCTTTGCCAACTCTACATCCAGTCTGTCAGCCAAGACTTGGAGCAGCAGCTTTAACTAGGGAGCCAGATGGTGTCCCGAGGAGGCCATCGGGAGTCGTCTCTATCCAGAATCAACTAAATTAGGCATGAGGAGGTGGTTTCCAGCCTCAGCAGTGACAGTTGTTAAACTAAACCACGTAGGCTGTGAAACCCCCATCCTTAATGCCATCACTGCTGGGTGCTAGGGGAAGGTTGTGAACAGGAAGTCCCATGACCTGTCTGTCTTCATCAGGTTTCACTAGAAGAAAGATTCTCATCTGTCTGGGAAGATATAGAGCTTTCCTGCCTGTAAGGGAGAATGAATAGGATGGTTTCTCAGGTGACATTAAGTTCTGAAATTTGGGTTAAAGAAGATTATGGATCTCTAAGTCTCAACTTGAGAAAAGAGTTGATACTAACCTTTTTGAAACTTTCTAATTCACTTTCCTTTTTCACTCCTCCCTACCTGGTAGAAACAAAATATCCTGGAAAAATGGAAACAAGATTAGCTGGAATTGCAGCATTAGGCTGGAATCAAGTGGGAAAAATGACAGATTGTGGTTCTAGGCGAGTGAACAGTCCATCACTGCCTGTCCTTCTTCCTCCTAGAGTGCGTCTGCAGAGGCAAGGAGGGGTCAGTGTACAGGGGCCTTCGTGTGGCTCTGTGTTAGATGGAAAGGCATGGCCTTCCCCTAAAAAACAAGAAGCTCCCATCCTTTTGGCAGACCTAATCCTGCCACATCTCTGCTCGCAACTCAATTACACCTAGTCTCTGTAACAAAGGCTTAGATGTACATGTATTTAGGGACTGAGTTTTTGTCACTGATTTGTTTCTAAGTTCATGAGAATGGCCATGGGACAATTAAAAACATATGATAAATGCCAAGCAAAACAAACAAACAAAAAAGCAACTGTTTCACCCTCAGTTTGGCCCACAGATATACCTCAGCAAGCCTTGTGTGTGACTTGGGTCACTTCCCTCTCCCAGTCCCCACAAAGGCTACCTTGTACCCTTTGACCATTGTCCTCAGACCCCTGCCAGCTCCCCTCAGCTCATCTACTGAGAACCTTGAACCTGTCAGGTGTGGCCTCCCTCAGCGTCCCACCCACAGACCAGCAAATTTCGCTAATACCGCACCCCCTCCCTTCCTCACCCCCAGGCTCAGCCTAGAGCTGTGCTGTCAGTTTAACAGTAATCCATCTCCACCTGTAGTCAGTCTACACCTCTCCAGGATCAGGACCTTGTTCTACCAGCTAGTTTCTCTCTTGATTTCTGGTCTGTCCTTCTCCACTGGCAGCTTCTTGCAACTTTATTCACCTGCTACAGTTGTTCAAATCCAGTCTGTCTGGAACTCAACTCCCTGCCTCCCTCCTCATATTTCCTTTTAGTGAGAAGGACAGCCTCCTTCCTCCCCCATATCCCTCAGAGCCATCTGGAACCAAGCCCTACAAATTCTGCCTCCCTGCTTAACATCTCCCAGCCTCAAACCCTCCGTATAGTTCAAATCCTTGCCTGACAGCCGCAATAGCCCCAACTGGTGCCACAAGCTCACTCCAGCCCTCCCTCCGGCTACTTCATTTTCCCTGTTGTAGCCTGTGTGAACATTCTGATACAATACAACTTGAAACTGTCCCTACCCAGCTTAAACCCTCTGGGGCTCCCCATCACCCACAGAAAGACCATGCTCCTTGGAGGACAGATGAGGCCCTTCTGATGGGACCTCTGTGGAACCTCCTCACCACACTCTATGCCCTGATGAGCCTTGCCTCCTAGCAACTCCCCCTGAAGGTGCCTCACTGGGCCTTGCCTTATCCCTCAGCTTACTCTGTACCCTTTTCTGGAATGCTGGTTTTCCCTGTCTGCCTGGGGCACACCTGCACATCTTTTGAAGACTCAGCCTGGGTACCACCTCCTCCACGAGGCTTCCCCTGCACTTCTCTGGCAGGCCCGACCCTACCTACCACACCCTTACCCTCGCCAAGTTCGGTGTCCGTGACTCTTGTTGCACAGACCTGTTATACATCTCTCTCCCTTGCATGATTCTGCCTCCTCTCTCTTCTCTTTTTTATGTTCACATCCCAAATTCTCTGCAGCACCCAGCTCAGGGCCAGCTCAGGGTCATAGAAGCTCAGTAATTTTTGCCAATTGAGTTCTCTTCATGGAGATGTATATAAAATGCAAGAGTCAGGTGGAGCCCAAAACTTTGACCTGGAAAATGGATTAGGTTTCCTACACTTGCCTTTGGTAAGATGGTATAAATGTCAGTTTTAACTTCAGTGCCTGCTCGCCTAAGTTGCGATCTGTTGCTATTGGTGAATGGAGACAAAGATGAAGACATTTATAAAAACCAACCAACCAGTATCCTAATGAAATAACTTATATTTTTGAAATGTCACAGATCATCAAAAGCCAGTGAAAAACCATGTGTCTTTTTTGTAGCCAAATCTGTGTAACAATTTCTCTTCTTCCAAGACAAGCAGTGAAACCTGGGACACTTTACTTTACTCTTATCCTTTAATTCCTTTGTTTGAACCATTTTGTTGAAATATACCATAACAAAAGGCTCACTGAGTCTTTATAAATTGAGCACACCTGTGTCATCGGCACCCAGATCAAGAAACAACTTAGCAACACCCCAGAAGTCCCCACTCAGGTCCCCTCCCAGTCAGTATCTGGATCCCCCAACCCCATTCTAAAGTCTGTGGTATAGTAATGATGGAGTGTTGGGAGTTGGACAGACCTGTTTGTAGACACGGCTATGCCACTAACCACACATCCTCATTCTTGCCAGAGGTTTTACCATTTGAGGCAGGTCATAATGAGACTTCCTTTTTTTCATGGAATTTTACTTCCCTTTGGGCTGCACTTATAGTTTACAATAAGCCACAATAGTTTACAGAAACACAATTTACAAAGCATTTACTCTGCACAAGCTCTTTACATGCATGTCTCACTTAACCTTGACAACAGCCCTATGGTGGAGGTCTGTATTCCCACTTCCCAGCTGAGGAAGTGGGGACTCAGAGGAGAGGTTAGTAAGTGACTTACCCAGCACCTGTGGCTTAACTACTCTAGTCTTGAAGTTGGTTCATTCCACTGCATTATTAAAGCCACGAAAAATACCTAAGGAACAAATTGAGAAAACAACAAAACATTAAAACAAAAGTGATATATTGGCCACTAGGTTGAGTCTTCTCCCTAGCTAGCATCAAGATGATCCACTACTGTAATTGGTCCTTCCTTGCATGTGACCGGTGGCCACTCTTCACAGCCCTTTATCCCCCATGGGTGTCCTCTCTCATAACCAGGGAGTTCGATAAGGGCCCAGCGTGCTGGGTTTGCTGCACCCACAAGCTCTCACAGACCGCCCTGGAGTTTTTCAAGTGCAGGGGAGTGTTAACCTCTCTGCTGCCTGAGAGCTATTTCAAATTTCTGGACAAATTATTAGAGTCTTTCCTTTTTTACACCCTCTTCACCTGACAAAATAGCCCAAGATCATAGAGAACGTGGAAGCAGAACTGCATGGATGATGGTTAGATTTTGAGATGGACAAGATTTCAGAGGCTAGTGGAGAGTTTGGCTGTGGCTAATACCCTTTGGCTTTCCACCCAGTCATTGGTGCAACTGAGCTCATGCCTCTGGCTGTGGCTCCAGGGTCTATCTGCCCCTGGCTCCCTCTCCTACTCCCTCGTCCCAGTGTACCAACTGAGAAATTTCCATCTATTCGCAAGCCCCAGGCAGCTGTAAAACTGCTGCTGGGGGAGAGTGTGGCTCCCTCAAGGAAACTCTTTGCCTGGACTCCCCTGGCTCACAGGCCCTGTCTAGTGAGGCACAGAGTCTGCTGTTTCTTTACACTGCTGGTGTCTGATGGAAGGGTGCCTGCCAGGAGGCCTAAGCGGGTGGCACATCTTGGCAAATTTGCTACAGCTGAGTTCTGGTTCTCAGCCTTTTGGGTGCAGAGACTGGATTTCCTCAGCACACCAGGGATGATCAGACCCTGGGTGGTAGGCTCTAGTTAACTGAATTTCCAAGAGTCCAAGGAAATCCAGAACCTTAATTATTATTGACAGTGGTGTTCTCCTATACTAAGCCACCTTCAGAGCACTCCTTATTCCTGGTCTCAAGTGACAAATGGTGGTCTTATGACCAGACAGTGGTTGATCGACATGGAATGAAAGAAAGGGGTCATGTGAGGGGCAGGTAGACACCAACCATGAACTCTCTCACAGGACGAATGCTACACTTCAAAGTCCCACTTCTCTTTCCTGCCCCCCCCCCCAATGCTGTCTGCTTTGTGCCCAAGATTGACTTGTTAACTATTCCAGGTTTCTCTGCTGACCCTGCCCCTGCTGCAGATGTTAGTATCATTGGTTAAATGAGTTAAATGGATGATCCAGTGGGCCAATGCAACGTTAATCTCCACTCATTACATGTGGCTGTAATCAGTTGAACTCTCAGAGGAGAAACTTAATTCCTTCATCACAAAATTCTTTCTTCTTATGCACTATTTATAAACACCTCTGTGCAATGTTTTTCTAAATATATCAATGATCTAGAAACCAAACTCTTGCTGAAACTGACCTACTGACATTTGCCTCTGTCCCAAATGGGGCTGCCCTGTCCTGAAATTTGTGGTGCAGTGGATGGAATATTGAGAGCCCAAGGAACTGGTTCTAGACACACTAACTAGTGCCACTAGCCAGAAGTGTGACTGGGGCACATCAGTTCTGGAGGACTAATTTTCCTCATCTGCAAAACTGATGACAATACTTGCTCTTCCCATTCCAGCAGGCTGCTGGGAAAAGGTAAGCTGCTCTGTATGGCAGTGAACATTGATATGATGGAGCTGTTTTCAACAAAGAATGTTCCTGTCTAGGTTTCTAAGACCAACTGTCCTCTGAGGGACTGCAACTGGGAACAGCATCCCATGTTTGTAGACTGTTGGGGTCCTTTAGTCCCATTCTTTGAAAAGGGAGATGTGTTCAGGGCTACTCTTTCCATGCTTGACTTTGCTTCCAGTCAAAGTTCCACGTGCTCAGGAACTTCCTGAGTTAATGGACCAGGAAATGGACTTGGATTGGTAATTTTCATTTTTTTTTTTTTTTAACAGCAGAACCTCCTTCCAAGTGAAAACTTACAGTAATAGAAAACATGTGAAAGTACAGCTGCTCTGGTGACTAGATGGTGGACGCAAAGCCCTCTGCTGGGCTGGGCATTTGCCCACCCAGCGGGTCCCTGAGGCAGCCCTGTGGGACTTCTGGGCTGGTCCAGGGAATGGTTTGAAAGCTAGATGTGTGCGCATGCTCAGAGTGCTGGCCTGTTTCCACAGCAGCACTCTAGAAACTTCTGTTCCTAAGACCAGAGGAGAGAAGAAATCTCCACGGCCCAGACTCAAAACTGGACTGACTGACTGGAGAGCCTTTTTGTCACCCTGTCTTTCTCTCATTCCACCACTGGCAGCTAGCTACTTCTGTCCGGTGAATCGCTTCGCCCACCTTCGACTGAATTTCGGACCTTTCATCTTAAATAGGGAGCGGGACCTGCTATGCGGTATTCGTTGTCAGATCCACACAAGATAAAATATGCAAAGTAGGTGTTCAAGAAAGTATAGTTTCCTGCCCTCTTTCC